AGACTACTAGACTACCGTAGGGCGAGTCCAGCACTCAATATAAAATTTAAAAGTAAATCTCACGTACTCATACCTAAATTTACTGTAAAGAAAGAAAAAAAAAAAAAAACACTCCAAATAACTGTAACCATCACACAATAACAGGTAACTCACCAATAATAATGTCGAGACCATCCAAATACGATCTCTCGAACAGTCGCACTGTTAACAACAACAACGTGTAGTTCACTCGGCAAAATACAGCGTACTGGAGAACGCGCGATGCGCTCCCGCCGGCCGCGCCTCCCGCGCTCCCCGCGCTGTTTTCAGTGGCGGGGCGCGACGATATAAGCGACTATTGCTGTGAAACGGGCTAGAACACGTGTAATTCATTCTCAAAATACGAAGTGTAATCTCTTAGGGTCAAGCCGCAGGCTCAGACCTAAAATACACTACTAAGGAGTTCCAGTGTTCGTTCTATGATATAAAGTAATCTTTTTGGAGAGCTGGCCACTTAGAAAAGTTGATTAGATGCATAGATTAATGTTAAAACAAATTGTCTGTATGTTGTCATTGTCTGTTTTGTTTACGTGTTGTGGGTTTTCATTCATTGGAATTTTATAACAACTGAATATTATTTAATAAGCAATGGAAGAAGGATTCACATTTACTGAAAATAAACGAGGACAGGAAACTTTACTGCAAGGTAAATACAGGTACAATTTAAGTGTGACTAATGCAAACGGAACGTCTCGATGGAGGTGCGTAAAGCGTGATGAGTGTTCTACAACTCTTGCATTAAATAAAGAAAGAACTATGGTTCTAAGACCGCCAAACCATACCTGTTCTTCACGAAAAATAGAAAATATTATATTATTAACATTAAATGCATGTAAAGAGGAGGTTTGCCACAATTTCGAACCAGTTCAAAGAATTTACGAAAAACACTTTGAAAAACTAAAGGAAGAATGTTCATCTGACGAGCTAAAGTATGTGCCATCGTTTTCATCGGTAAAAGATAGTATGTTTGCAAAACGGAAGAATTTTTTGAATTCCTCTCTGTTGAACTTTAAAAAAATTGAAGAAGTCGTAGTTCCAGAAGGACTAGGAAAACATTTTTTTAATTGTGCTGATGGAGAACAGGAAAAAATTATAATTTTCTGTTCAAAAACGTCGAGGAATTTATTGAAAAAGACAATAGACGGCATAACATTTTTTGGTGACGGCACATTCCGTTGCGTCCCTTGTCAATTTTACCAATTGTACACATTACATGTGGATTTATTTTCCAATGAGAATATAGTTTTCGCTTTGTTACCAAATAAAAGCGAGCAAACCTATGTTCGATTTTTTTCTTTAGTCAAGGATAAGTTGGGTATAATCATGAAAAATTTTAAATGTGATTTTGAAATAGCTACAATAAATGCTGTACAAACCGTATACCCCAATTGTCAAGTAACAACATGCTTTTATCATTATAATAAAAATATTTTGAAAAAAGCGAAAACATTAAAATTGACTGGCTCCAAGGAAGGACGTAATTTTACTAGAAAGGTAGCTTTGTTGCCGTTATTGCCATATAATCGAATTTCGGAGACATGGTTTTCTATTAGCAATTCTGTGCCAGACACAAATGAACTTAAGTTATTTAAAAAATATTTTGAAGAACAATGGATGAAGCTCAACCCAAAAATTTTAAGTTGTAGTACTGAACGCCACCGTACCACAAATCCTGTTGAAGGATGGCACAGACGTATAAACGCAAGGATACCACGGAAGCCCACATTCTTTGCATTTGTAGCTTATTTAAGAAAGGAAGCAAAATATTATGATTTTAAAATAAAAAGAAGTTTATTTTTAACAATGAAAAAAAATCGAAGGAATATTGATATAAAATTTGATAAGGATTTAAAATTATTGTTGCAAAAATTAGAACAAAATGAAATGACAAGCATAGAATTTTTGAAGAAAGTTATTTATCGGAAGCTACGTTATTAGAGCCATAACGCGAAACAGTCCCCCTTGAGCCAAGGTATAAGATAGGGTTTTAAGTGAATTCTAGTATGTAAGATTTAAACATGGAACAAGTGAATTGTTATTATTTTTTGTTTATTTTATTTTAAGTTTAATAAAACATACATTTTTAATTGGATGTTTGTTTTAATTTCATAGTAAATTAAGTCTTGAGTTTTCTTGCACACCAACCAAGGTAGTCAAATAAGGAAGTGGTCAAAAGCAGAAATGGTCTTTAAGAGAACTAGCCTTATCAAGAAGTGGTCGAATACAGAACAGGTTGTAAGCAGAAAAAGGCAAATGAAGAACTGGTCCCTAAACGTCAAAACGAAATAAATCACTGTTGTGTGTCGTTCTTTGTGTTGCAGTTTTCCCCAACAGTTGGTCCAACGGCTATTGAAGAGGTCCCTGTTACTTACATTTCTGAAAACAATTTAAATGAAAAAAATGCAGAAGACAAAATAGATGGAGGTTATACACAGGTAATATTTCACTCACCTTTGCACCTTATTATACATAGATGATGTTTCTACAAAAGTTATATGTAGTTTATCTCATTATAAATTTATTATTTCAGGATTGGGGCGACTATACGCCAAAGCTGCTTCAGACACCCATCTCAAAACAATTAAAGAGTACAAAGCAAACTGAGAGGAGACAATTAATCGGAATGAATAAAAGGAGGCCACAACTCACTAGTTCGAAAGTTTCATTGGAAAGTTTACACGACAGAAAAAAAGAAGCAATTTCTGTACAAATTGACCATGCGTCAAAAGAAAGAGTCGAAGCAAGCACATTGTTTAATATAAATTTACGAATAAAACAGGAAATTTTGAAACAAGATAAAATAAAAACTAAACTCTTGTTGTTAGAATTAAAAAATAAAACAATAAATTTTTTTTTTTTAATTGTGTTTTATTATAATAAGCTTTGAAAATAATCATTGATAATTGCATTTCGGGCTGCACTTGGCCTGGTATTTTGCTGTGATGCCTGAGGTTGACGAGTCACTTGTCCCTGAATGAAAAGTTCATCCCAAGGAGCTGGCAGTTGCAGAGCAGGATCATCTGGGGGATTGACTTCTCCATTTTGCCTCAACATGTTATGTAACACTGCAGTCGCTACAATGATTACCAGTGAATTGTCCAGTTTAGTACGCAAGCCAAGTGCCAAAGCAGGAAAACGTCTCTTCCAAACTCCGTAGGCTCATTCCACACAATTTCTTGTCCGTATTTGGGATTCATTATATAACTGCTCTACTGGTGTACTGGGGTTATCTAATGGAGGCATCAAGTAGGAATTTGAAGCATAAAACCACCATCCACCACCAACAAGGAATTGCCATAGCAGCCAGATTCGAATTTTGCTTTTCTATAGCAGTTGTTGAAAATTGTACTATCATGAGATGATCCAGGCCATCTGGCTACTATGTCAGTTATTTCCAAGTTGGCATTACAAATCGTTTGTACATTGATGGAGAAATAGCCCTTCCTGTTGCGATATAGCTCAGCATGATCTCCACCTGGTGACGTTATTCGTATGTGAGTACAATCCATAGCACCAATGACTCTCGGAAATCTGGCTATACAAAAGAAGGAATCCTGTTCTTTTCGTAAAGTTTGGGTTGTCGACGGAAATTTTATATATTCTGTGTGTAACGATGCTATAGCTGCACTCACTTGATGGATTACTCTATGCGACGTAGGCCTACTCATCCCGCTATAGTCACCAATACTCATTTGTGTGTTATTTGTCGCATAAAATCTCAGAGTGGCTAACAGTTGGTTAATAGGGGCTATTGATTTATTTCTGAAACAATACAGTAATGTGTCTTGATTATTTGATAATTTTTCTTTGTAATAATTAATATTTATTTAAACAAAATTGAAACGACAACTCACCTAACTGATATATATTCCAAACGATGTTCGATTTTTGTCAGTAAATTTAATACTGACGCTTTAGATAGACGAAACCTTGTGATGAAATCCTGGTCATCGTAATCTTCAAAGTAGTTACTCCTTTCCTTAAACCACCTTGGCCGTGGCCCTAAATATTCTTCATCATCACTATCAGATTCGTTAAATAATATCATGCTCAAACGACTCGCCATTTTAAACTGTGACAGCCATTATGCCGTAACTTACTCTACGAATAACGCTTTACTCGGCCGAAAGCGGCGGTATAAGAATTTACTCTGGTATAGTGAATGTATCCCCGGGATAAACGTTGGTGAAACGTAAAGTTCATTAACTCGCGAGTAATTAATGATTTATTCTTGGAATAAGAGTTATTCGTGTTTGGTGAAATCCACCCTTAGTGAAATTGAACAAACCCCAATCGCCAATATATAAATTGGATGACATGACACGAGTATTTCTAGTCATATTATAGCACATTCCATATAATAGATAATGAGATTT